AAACTTCAACAACTAAAAGACAAATAACACTATTAAAAAATGGGAAAAGGTTATGAACAGGCACTTCGCCAGAGAAGATATTCAGGCAGCTAACAGACACATGAAGAAATGCTCATGATCATTAGACATTAGAGAAATGCAGATCAAAACTACAATGAGATATCATCTCACCCCAACAAGGCTAGCATTAATCCAAAAAACACAAAATAATAAATGCTGGAGAGGCTGTGGAGAGACTGGAACACTTACACACTGTTGGTGGGAATGTAAAATGGTACAATCACTTTGGAAATAGATTTGATGCTTCCTTAAAAAGATAGAAATAGAAGTACCATATGATCCAGGTATCCCACTCATTGGAATATATCCTAGAGAAATAAGAGCCATCACACGAATAGATATATGCACACCCATGTTCATTGCAGCACTATTCACAATAGCAAAAAGATGGCAACAACCTAGATGCCCATCAACGGACAAATGGATAAACAAATTATGGTATATCCACACAATGGAATACTACACAACAGTAAAGAACAATGATGAAGCCGTGAAACATTGTATAACATGGAGGAAGCTGGAACTCATTATGCCGAGTGAATTTAGTCAGTCACAGGACAAATATTGTATAAGACCACTATTATAAGAACTCAAGGAAAAGTTTAAACACAGAAGAAAACATTCTTTGATGGTTATGAGGGTGGGGAGGGAGGGTGAGAGCTATTTACTAAGTAGATAGTAGATAAGAATTATCTTAGGTGAAGGGAAGGGCAGCACACACTACAAGGGAAGTCAGCACAACTGAACTAAACCAAAGCTAAGAAGTTTCCTGAATACAATCAAACACTTTGAGAGACAGAGTAGCAGGGGTAGGGGTCTGGGGACCATGTTTTCAGGGGACATCTAGGTCAACTGGCATAACAAAGCTTATTAAGAGAGTGTTCTGCATCCTACTTTTGTGAGTGGCATCTGGGGTCTTAAAAGCTTGCAAGCGGACATCTAAGATGCAGCAACTGGTCCCAACCACCAGGAGTAAAGGAGAATGAAGAACACCAAAGACACAAGGAAAGTATTAGCCCAAGAGACAGAAAGGACCACATAAACCAGAGACTTCATCAGCCTGAGACCAGAAGAACTAGACGGTGCCCGGCTACCACCAATGACTGCCCTGACAGGGAACACAACAGCGAGTCCTGAATGGAGCAGGAGAAAGGTGGGGTGCAGAAATCAAATTCTAGTAAGAAGAGCAGACTTAATGGTCTGACTGAGACTGGAGGAACCACAGAAAGCATGGCCCCTGGATTCTCTATCAGCCCAGAACTAAGACAATTTCTGAGGCCAACTCTTCAGACAGGGTTTGGACTGGACAGTGGGACATAAAGTGATACTCGTCAGGAGTGTGCCTCTTAGCTCAGGTAGATACAAGAGACTAAACAGGCAGCTTCTGTCCGGACTTGAGATGGGAAGGCAAAGAGGATTAGGAGCTGGTTTAATGGACATGGAGAATAAGGGGTGGAAAGGAGGAGTGTGCTGTCACAGTAAGCGGAGAGCAATTAGGGTCACATAACAGGGTATGTATAAATTTTTGTATGGGAGACTAACTTGAAATGTAAACTTCATTTAAACTACAACAATAAAAAACTAAAACAATTGCTGAGGGAAGGATAAAAAAAACAGAAGCGAGGATGGTGAGATTTCCTCTCATGTACTGTGGACATGTTATCAGTAGGGACCAGTGCTTGGAGAAGGGCATCATGCTTAGTAAAGTAGAGGGTTAGAGAAAAAGAGATAGACCCTCAATGAGATGGATTGACACAGTGGCTGCAACAATAAGCTTAAACATAACAAGAATTGTGTGGATGATGCAGGGCCGAGTAGTGTTTTGTTCTATTGTACATAGGGTTGCTATGAGTCGGGACTGACTCACCGGCACCTAACAACAACAGCAATTCCATATAAAATTGAGGATTTGTTTTTTCCATTTCTGTAAAGAAGGCTGTTAGGATTTTGATCAGGGTTGTACTGAACGTATAGATTGCTTTGGGTAGTAAGGACATCTTAACAATATTAAGTCTTCCAATCAGTGAAAATGAATTTACAACACAATTCCTAGTTATTTTATTCTTTTACACGCTATTGTGAATGGAATTGTTTCCCTAACTTCCGTTTCAGATTTCTCATTGCTGGTGTATAGAAACCCAGCTGATTTTTGTTTGTTGACCTTTTACATTGCAACTTTGGGATTTTCTATATATGGTATCATATTATCTGCGAACAGAAATAATTTTACTTCTTCTTTTCCAGTATGGATACCTTTTATTTATTTTTCTTGTCTTACTGCTTTTACTAGTACTTCTAATACATTATTGAATAGAAGTCGCGAGAGTGGGCACCCTGGTCTTATTCCTGATTTCTGGGGGAACATTTCTAGTCTTTCTTCATTAAATATAGTGTTGGCTGTTGGTTTTTCATATATGCCCTGAATCGTATTGAGGAATTTCCATTCTATTCCAATCTTCTTTAGGGTTTTCCTCAAGAAAGCATGTTGGATTTTATCAAATGCCTTTTCTGCATCCATAGAGATGATCATGTGGTTGTTTTCCTTTGTTCTATTGATATGGTATATTACATTGATTTATTTTCTAATGTTGAACCATCCCTGCATTCCTGGAATAAATTCCACTTGGTCACAGTGTATGACTCTTTTAATATGCTGTTTGATTCTGTTCGCTAGAATTTTGTTGAGGGTTTTTGCATCTATATTCACAAGAGATATTGGCCTGTAGTTTTCTTTTCTTATGGTGTCTTTGCCTGGTTTGGGTATCAGGGTTATGTTTGCTTCATAGAGTGAATTAGGAAGTATCCCTTCCTTCTCTATCTTTTGGAGGATTATAAACAGTATTGGTGTCAATTCTTCTCTAAATGGTAGAATTCCCCATTGAAGCCATCTGGTTGGGGACTTTTTTTTGGGGGGGGGAGGTTTTTGATCACTGATTCTATCTCTTCACTTGTTATGGGTGTGTTCAGACTTTCTATTTCCTCTTGAGTAAGTTTGGATAGGTTGTATGCTTCTCAGAATTTGTCCATTTCATCTAGGTTATTCAGTTTGTTTATTTCTATTGGTTCAGTTGTAATGTCTCCACTTTTATTTCTTATTTTGGTTATTTGTATCTTTTCTCTTTTTTTCTTTTTCAGTCTAGCAAAAGGTTTGTCAATTTTATTGATCTTTTCAAAGAACCAACTCCTGGTTTTATTGATTCTCTCTATTGTTTTTCTGTTTTCAATTTTATTTATTTCTGCTCTGATCTTTGCTATTTCCTTTTTTCTGGTAGGTTTAGGCCTACTTTGCTCTTCTCTTTCTAGCTCTTGGAGTTGTCGAGTTAGGCTGTTGATTTATCTTTCTTCTTTTTTCATACAGGCATTTATTGCTTTAAGTTTCCCTCTGAGTACTGCCTTTACTGCATCCCATAAATTTTGTTAAGCTGTGCTTTCATTTTCATTTGACTCAAAGAAATCTGTGATTTACCTTTTTATTTCTCTCTTGACCCATTGATAATAATGTGCTGTTTAATCTCCCTATGTTTGTGTATTTTCCAGGTTTTTTTTTTCTGTTTTTGATTTCCAACTTTACTCCACTGTGGTCAGAGAAAATACTTTGTATGATTTCAATCTTTTTAAATTTATCAAGACTTGCCTTGTGAGCTAACATGTGGGCTAACCTGGAGAATGATCTATGTGCACTGGAGTAGAATGTATATTGTACTGTTGTTTGGTGGAGTGTTCGATATATGTCTGTTAAGTCTAGTTGGTTTATAGTGTCATTCAGGTCCTCTGTTTCCTTGTAGATCTTCTTTCTAGATGTTCTGTCCAATATTCAAATTGGTGTATTGAAGCCTCCAACTATTACTGTAGTGCTATCTATTTCTCCCTTCAATTCTATCAGTGTTTGCTTTATATATTTAGGTGCTCTGATGTTGGGTGCATATATATTTATGATTGTTAAATCTTCTCGATGAATCGACCCTTTTATCACTATATAATGTCCATCTTTATCTTTTTTAATAGATTTTGTCATAAAATGTACTTTGTCTGATATTAAGATTGCCACCCTAGCTCTCTTTTGGTTATTACTTGGATGGAATTTTTTTTTTACATTATACTGTGTTTTTGTTAATACTAAAGATAAGAAACAGTTGACATTAGAGTGAGTATCAGAGATAACTAACACAAAAATTTCTTGATGCATTTAATAGGCCTCTAGAATTGGAGTTCCATTATGCAAGGAGTAGAGGCTACTATGACACGTCCATAAAGTATACACTGTCTCCTCCATGGATCTAGGAATTCTGTCTTGGCACACCAAGGAAAGGCAAATGTGACTCTTGTGTTTCTAATACCTTTATTAATTACACTCATGCTCCTGAGAAGGGTGAGAGATAAAAAGGTAAGATGATTAGGCCATTTCCTGCAGTATATTCACAAAGAGGCTCTAGGCCCCTAAATCTCACTTTCAGCTAAACCAGAAAATAGAGGGTGGCAGTTGTGTTAAAAAATATCACCAATATTCTTCAGAACAATTCGATTAGTTGCTTAGACACCTTTGAACAGAGAAGCAGTTTATTATAATTTATAGCTAGCTTAGTAAAACTAACCTTCTGAAGTGTGAGCTCCCCTTATTGTGTAGTGATATAATTCTACAAATAAAATAGAGTACTTATTATGAGCAATGCACTTTGCTAGGGTTTATAAATACAACAAATATAGGTAATGATTGTTCATGACCCTAAGGAGCTTATAATCATATATAGAGAAAGATAAATGCACAAATGATTGTAATACAAAATAGTCTAGGAATGACATTAGAGAGGCAGTGCTATGAGGGTGCAGAGGGGTGAAAGACTGTTTCCCACCAGGAGGTATGAGAGAAGAGTAAAGAGAAGAAAAAAGTAGTAAGATCTAAATCGGCATCAGACTTACAAAAGCATAAATATAGTTCTTACATGCAATTGTTTCAAATGTTTTACTTTCTAAATGAGGCAATTCCCACACTGATTCCAGGAAGCTGTCCAATGATGGATCATTCATTTTGGCTTTAATTTCAAACTCGTACAGCAGAAGCAATGTTTCACATGGATCATTTGAGAAGTCCCCTAAGAAAGGCAAAAATGCAACATGCTCTGTGATTATATTTCATTATTCTTTTCTGTTCTAATCTCTCTACTGGGGAGGTTTTTCTGTTGAGGAAAAATTGTCTTATTTACAATTTGAAGGTTATCCCAAGCCTCTATGGGCAGATTTTTTTGCATTTTTAAATCTATAAGCTCATCAATACTTTCAACACCCTGTTATGCATTCACTAGCATTGCCTACACTTTCTGAAATTATTGCCACGATGCTTCTAACTAGCCTAAAGAAGTCCTGCCGCTATAACTAAGATTATAATTCAAATCTAGTGTTTATCTGCCTCCTGTGAACTTTCTCTTGGTCCATGCTCACTCCAATGGCTAAGTTAACCAGAATATACTGTGTTGCATGAATCGTGCTTTTATTTCAAGAAAAGTGTAAAGGAGAGTTTCCAAATTGTTTCATTTAGTCAGTAGACAGTATTTCTTAGGTATCCCCCTGGGCAGAATCCTATATGAGGTGGGCTATACCATACTATGTGATACAGTTTTCTTTTTACCTTTGGTGGACTGAACCTTTTTAAAAAGTTTCTTGGTTATCCACCATGGGCAGAATCCTATATGAGGTGGCCTATACCTACTATGTAATACAGTTTTCATTCACCTTTGGTGGACTGAACTTTTTTAAAGAAGTTTTGAGGCATAGCATGCATACAGTAAAATGAATGAAGTGCACTAATATTAAACAAACAGCTTGATGAATTTTTACGTATGTTTAAACCCATATAACAACTATATAGATTATGACATAGAACACTTCCAACACTCCAGAAGGTTCCCTTATGCTCTTTTCCAGTCAATACCACTTTACTAGAGGTAACAACTATTTTAACTTCTATCATTATCAGTTGTTTTTGCCTATTATGGAATTCATTGCTAATATATAGAAATGCCCTCAATTTTTTGTAGCTTGCAACTTGCTAAACTCATATATTAGTTCAAGTAACTATTTTTTTGTAGATTCTTTGGGATTTTCAATATAGACAATCAAGTCATCTGCAAAAAAAGCTAGTTTTATATCTTGATTTCCACTCTATATGTCTTTTTTTCTTTCTTTTGCTTGAATTAGTGCACTGATTAGGACCTCCAAGACAATGTTGAACAGGAGCGGTAAGAGTACACATCTTTTTTCCCCTTCCTCTGTGTTCTTGCTTTTTTTTTAATTGCAGTAAAAATATATATAATGCAACGTTTGCCAATTCAACATTTTTTACGTGTAAAATTCAGTGACACCAATTACATTAATCATGTACAACCATCACCAGTATCTGTTGCCAAATTTTCCATCACAACAGATACTCCAAAACAATAATTCCTCTTTTCCCCCCTCCCTGCTGCTCCTGGTAACCAGTAATAAACCTTTGTCTCTATACATTTGCCTATTCTAGATCTTTCATATAATGAAATAATGCAATATTTGTCCTTTTGTAATTGACTTACTTCGCTCAGAATAATGTTTTCAAGGTTCATCCATGTTGTAGCATGTATCAGGACTTCATTTCTCTTTATGGCTGAGTAATATTCCATTGTATGTACATACTACATTTTGTTTATCCAGTCATCTGTTGATGGACATTTTGGTTGTTTGTGAATAGTGCTGTAATGAACATTGGCGTACAAACATCTTTGTGTTTCTGCTTTCAATTCTTTCGGATGTAATCCTAGGAGTGGAATTGTGGGGTCATAGGGCAGTTCTATCTTTAACAAATTTGAGGAACTACCAAACTGTTTCCACAGTGGCACAGTGGCTGTACCATTTTGCATTCCCATCAGCAATGAATGAGTGTTTATGTTGTTTTCCATTTTTGTTTTGTTTTGTTTTATCTTAGCTATCCTAGAAGGGATGAAGTGGTATCTTGTTATGGTTTTGATTTAGATTTCCCTAATGGCTAATGACGTTGAGCATCTTTTCATGTGATTGTTGGCCATTTGAATTTCTTCTTTGGTGAAATGTCTGTTGAAGGCCTTTGACCATTTTTTGATTGGTTTGTCTTCATGTTGTTAAGTTGTAAAGGTTCTTTATACATTCTAGATATTATTAAACACCTATCCAATATATGATTCCTAACATTTTCTCCCAGTTTGTAGGTTATTTCTTCACTTTCTTGATTAAAGTCCTTTGATGAACAAAAGTTTTTATTTTTATGAGCTCCTATTTATCTATTTTGTCTTTTTGCTCGTGCTTTTGGTGTCATATCTAAGAATCCATAGTTAAAAACTAGGCCCTGAACCTATGTTTTCTTCTAAGAGTTTGATGGTTTCAGTTCTTACATTTAGGTGTTTGATTCATTTTGAGTTAGTTTTCCTATGTATTGTGAGGTATGAGTCTGGCTTCCTTCTTTTCCATGTGGAAATCCAGTTGTCCCAGCATCATTTATTAAAGAAACTGTTCTTTCCTCATTGGATTGACTTAGCATCCTTGTTGAAAATCAGCTGACCATAGATACACAGATTTATTTCTAGACTCTCAATTCTATTCCACTGGTCTATATGTCTATCATTATACCAGGACCAGGCTGTTTTGATTACTGTAGCTTTATAGTATGCTTTAAGACTGAGAAGTGTGAGTCCTCCTACTTTGTCCTTCCTTTTCAAGACTGCTTTGGCTATTTGCTCTCCCCCACCCCGCAAGCCTCTGTCAGTTTGTTGTACTGTGGGGGCTTGAGTGTTGCTATGATGCTGGAAGCTATGCCATCGGTATTCAAATACCAGAAGGGTCACCCATGGTGGACAGAGTTCAGCTGAGCTTCCAGATTAAGACAGACTGGGATGAAGGACCTGGAGGTCTACTTCTGCAAGGAATTAGCCAGTGAAAACCTTATGAATAGCAGCAGAACACTGTCTGGTATAGTGCCGGAAGATGAGCCCCTTAGGTCAGAAGGCACTCAAAATATGACTAGAGAAGAGCTGCTTCCTCAACATAGAATCGAACTTAATCACATGGATGGAGTCAAGCTTTTGGGACCAGGCAGTGTTTCGTTCTGTTGTACATAGGGTTGCTAAGAGTCGGAACTGGCTCGATGGCACCTAACTACAACAACATTTTGTGCCCATTGCAGTTCCATATAAATTAGAGGACTGCCTTTCCACTTCTGCATAGAAGGCTGTTGGCATTTTGATGGGTATTGCACTGAATCTATAGATTACTTTCGGTAGTATTGACATCTTAATATTAAGTCTTCTCATCCATGAACACAGAATATCCTTCCATTTATTTAGGGGTTCTTTAATTTCTTTCAGTAACGTTTTACAGTTTTCAGTGTAGAAGTCTTTCACTTCCTTGGTTAAATTTATTTATGGATTAAATTTTATTCTTTTAGATGCTATTGTAAATGGAATTATTTTCCTAATTTCCTTTTCAGCTTGCTCATTGCTGATGTATAGAAATCCAACTGATTTTTGTGTGTTGACATTCATTCGGTCACTTTGCCGAATTCATTTATTACCCCTAGTAGCTTTTTTGTGGATTCTTTGGTGTATTCTATATATAGGTAGCTCCTGACTTACGATGTATTCGGGTTATGATGAACCACACGTACATCCGTTTGTGAGCTTTTTATTTTTGGTACATCTTATGGTTAGTAATATGCACTACGTACAATGTTGTGTGTAATTTGCTGATGTTATCATTCTCAGATGTTCATTTGCAGATGTTCAATGTTATGATTATAAAGATACTTATAATAAAAGGCAATAATAATGAAATCTAAACAAAAATGAGGTATTCAACTTATGTCAGAACCAACTAATGCATGGGAGAAAGATCTGGCAGTCTGCTTCCACAAAGATTACAGCTTTGGAAACCCTATGGCCGCAGTTCTACTCTGACCTATAAGGTCGCTATGAATAGGAATTGACTTGACGGAAATGGGTTTACTAGACTGTAAGTTCCCTGAGGTCAGGATCCTCATCTGTCTTATTTACTTCTGTAGACCTATTGCTCAATATTAAGGTTGCCAGATAAAATACAAGACTCCCTCTGTACAGTTGAGTTTCAGTTAAATGTTCATATATAGTTAAACGTGAATTTCAGGTAAACCTTAAATAATTTTTTAGTATAAGCATGTCCCAAAGATTGCATGGGATGTATTTTAGTAAAAAAGTATTGGTTGTTTGTTTGAAATTCAAATTTAACTGGACGTCCTATATTTTTATTTGCTAAGTCTGGCGACTCTACTAGATGTGTATTAGCTGAATAAATGTTCTGAGCATCTACTATGTGTCAGGCAACTCACACCTTCTCATTAAATCATTATTTATGCAATTGTTTTAATAGCTGTCTCCTCCACTAGGCAAAAAAACAGAAAAGAAAAGAACTGACTTATGACAGAGTCTTCGGAATGGAACCCTGTTGAAAGTCGGGGACTACCTGTATAGGATCATGTCATCTGAAAAAAGGGATATTTAAATTTTTTCCTTCCTGATTTGGATGCATTTTACTAATTTTTATTCAATAATTGCTCTTGCTAGAACTTCCAGCACAATATTGAATAGCAGTGATGAGACCAGGCATACTTGCCTTGTTCCTGATCTTAAGGGGAAAGCTTTCAGGTTTTCTCCATATGATGTTAGTTGTGAGGTTTTCTTTAAATGCCCTTTATCATTTTGAGGTATTTCCATTCTATTACTAGCTTTTTTTCTTAAATCATGAAAGGGTGTTGTAGTTTGTCAAATGCCTTCTCTGCACTGATTAAGATGATCATGCAGTTCTTATCCTTTATTTTAAGAGTGTGCTATATTACATTGATTTATTTTCTAGTGTTGAACCACTCTTGCATTCCTGGAATAAATTCCATTTGATCATGGTGTATAATCCTTTTAGTATGCTTTTGGATTTGGTTTGCTTGTATTTTGTTAAGGATTTTTGCATCATATTCATAAGGGATATTGGCCTGTAGTTTTCTTGTGGTGTCTTTGTCTGGATTTGGTATTGGAATAATGCTAGCGTCACAGAATGAGTTAGAAAG